GCAAACGTCCATCCTATGGCCTCCCAGAGAAGGTTTGCATATGGGTGCCTGACATTCTCTCTGGCTGCAAGATTTCTGTTCTCCTCTCCATCCCACAACGCTAACGCAGGTCTTCGTATGGGTCGGTCATGGGCCCGCCACTGTTCCTCTTACATATCAACGACCTTCTTTTCTGTACGATCAACCCAATCCACAGATTTGCTGATAACAGCATTGTACATGCAGGAGTTCAGAGCAACAAGCCGATCACTACAGGTGAGCTGGAAAAAATAAGATTAATGGCGACTTACTCCCTGATGAGAGACCTGAAAATTATCACTGCTTGGGAATGCAACAATCTTGTACACTTCAATGCTTCCAAAACACAGTACTGTACCTTGACGAACAAAAAGCGTCCTAGCACTCGTACGGTTTCGATGGATGGCCGAGTTCTGCCATCCATCGAGGACTTGATCTGTTACGAACACATCTCGTCATTGCTGCAGATGCTGGAAAAAAACGAGGTTAAGAAGAACTTTTCTCCTCATGACCTCCTCACTCTATGCAAGGCTCAGATAAGACCTAGCCTCGAGTATTGTTCACATGTTTGAAGTTCTGGCGCCCCGACTACATTATTTATGCTCGATGTTGTCCAGAGAAGGGATGTCCGACTGATCGATGACTCTTCTCTAGCAGACAGTCTGCGGACTCTTTCGCAACGGCGGGTCGTCGGCGATCTAGCTCTCTTCTACCACTACACCACCGGGCTTTGATACTCAGAGCTCTCCTCCATAAGGCCGCCGCGCGATGTGACTGCCAGACAGACTCATCTGACTTCGGCCTCCCATCTTAACTGCATCGAACTTCGTACATCCAGAACTGGTCGATACGACCGCTCCTTTCTCCCGAAGGTGCCAAGATTGTGGAACAATCTACAAGAGGAGGCTTTTCCCAGTTCTACTAACCTAAGGCAGTTCAAAAATTTCTTTGGAATCTTCATAGCATTTAGACTTCTGCCTGCGCGACTGCTTCGGTATTAAAAAAAAGAAATTAACTGGATCAACTTAGTTAAACTCTGGATCGATTTTGAAAACTTCAAGCATTTTGGTCCTTGGCATAGTAGTCGCTGTATGAAAAGTTCATCAAGTTATAGGCGGTTATAAGATTAGCCCACAGACCGACAGACGGAAATGAGTTACAACGTTTTTCTTGATGCCATATAATATCCAGAAAACTTAATCTCGCCTATAGGAGTGAGAAGTAAAAGCATGTTGGTAAAAAAGTTGACCTAAGTGGATTTTTCACTGACTGATTCAATTGAATTCAGCACGCAAATTACCGACCTGCACTGGATTTCGTATCTGCATTGTAGCCATGAAAAACGAAATGTTAGTTTTGTGTGGCAGGGTTATGAAAAGACGTATCCTTGCGCATATTTGTATTAAAAGTTGTTCCTTTGAAATGACTTATTTGAGAAATAATACCATCTTACTTTACGACTGCCAGATATAAAAAGCGGAAATTCTCAAAAAAGGATTGTAAAAAATCCTCAGGTCGGACAAAAGTTCTAAGCCCAAAATACGGTTAAGGGGATTCACGGCAAAGCAGAGTTTGCGGCCCTGCTTTCGCCAGTTGCAATTCAAGACCTGGCGACCTTGCTGAGAGGCCTGATTAGAAACGAAAATAATCCAAGATTAAGCCGAACACTGATGTCACTGACATCACAATTTTGGCAGAAAATACAAAAGGAAGAAACCAAAATCGGACCGGTACTTTCCCAGTTCTAGGGGGTCAAAAATTAACGGACAGACAGACACGGGCAGACAGACAGACAGACCAACGTAAATGAGTAAGGTGACTGCCTACTGGCGGGGAAGTATTGTAATCGCGTAAATTTTAGACAATGAGATATTATATTGTTTAGATGTTATATGACAAGTAAGCGCATCACGAAAAACTATGTCACTCATTTCCTTCGATCTGTCGGTTTGTCCGCTAATCTTATCACCGCCTATAACTTGAGATTCACTGTTTGGCTGTCAATGAAATGTTTACACAATGTTACCAGTATACCAAGGACCTAGAAAATTTACAGTTTTTGAAAATCGTTCCAATGGTGTGGCGGATCTAGAAGCAAAAACCTCAAAAAAACAAAAACCGCTCAAACTTCGCTTTTTGATGTTTCAGAGCCTGCTGATCAATTTCAGAAACAAATTTGTAGGAGTTGAAGGGCAAGGGGTAGGGGGTGGGTGAGGGTATATACCATTTTTTGAATTATATTTCAAACACTTTGATTCTCATTAATTTTATCAGTACCTACGTATTTCATACATCATAGATTTCCCCCAACATTTGCCCTTAAAACTTTGTGTGCGTTACTAGTGTAATTCAGCACAGTTGCCAGATGGTTGATAAAACATGGAAGAAACTAGCGTTACCGTTATCTAATGGGGGGGAATATGCAGTGTGGACTAATTGTATTGGGCTGTTTGGCTGACTTAATCCATTTAATTTTTGTATAATACATGTTTATGAACTGATGACAACATTGCGTGGGTAGTGCAGAGTCAACCTGCTTAATGCCATTTTTGGTGATGAACATGTGTCATATAACATCAAAAAATATAATTGCTCATTTTCCAAATTTTTCACGATTACAATACTTCCTCGCCAGTGGCGTAGGTGCTCAATTGGTCTTGGTAGATAACGAGAGTTTTATCGCACAAAGTGCCAGAATCGACCACTGCGAAGGTAAAAACTGTATCCCAGTTCGCATTGTCAGCTGGTGCTGTGTGGTAGAGTGATAAGGTTTGTAAAGATTTATCCCATGATGACCTTGAACGTGGCCTTGGCTTTGACCTTCAAACTTGTTTGATTGTCAAGACAGTTTTTTTAAATGGAAACCCCTATTTTTGACACCGCAAATAAAAAGTGCAAGAGTACGTATGACCATCACCTTGACTGTGATCAGCAAGTCCATTTGGAGATCAAAACAATAGTTTAACGGAAAACATCTCTTTATAATTTCTGAAAGGCAAATTGCATACATGGCCTTCAAAGTAATTTCAAGATCAGATAAATTTTTAAGAAAGTTACTTATTGTTTGTCGAGAATATAAAAAAGTAACACCTTGAAACTGATTGTTGCATCAAAATGCTGGATAAAATTTTTTTAGTTCGAGATATATATAATGACGATTACACATTCAGACATACAAATTCGGCATATACTCAAAGCGTCCATACGTGCTCAGTGAACTATTTTAAATGGGCACAAGCTGAAATGCATACACTTAATTATCTACGGACATTGAAATATCTCATACTGTAACAGAAAACATTATAATAAGTACAGCGGTTACTGACGTAATGGGCTGAAGAGAGCTACAACTAACCAATCAGGATAGAACTAGAGAATCATTTCCCCACATGAAATCACTCTGTGTAAGGCCCAGATAAGGCATAGCCTCGAGCTCATATGTTTCTGGTGCTACAGTCCCGACAACATTAGCTATGCTCGATGCTGTTCAGAGGAGGGCTGTACGACTGATCGATGACTATTTTCTAACGAACAGTATAGGGACCTTTTCGCGACGGCGATCTAGCTTTCTTGAACCGCTACGCCAATGGACTTCCTTCCTTGATGCCGCTGTGCGACGTGCTTCCAGACAGACTCGTCTTCTTCGGCCTCGTGTCGAACTTCGTGCATCCAAAACTGGCTAGTACGACTCCTCCTTTGTCCCTAGGGTATCGAAATTATGGAACAATCTACTTGAGGGTTTTCCTAGTTTTACTAAGTTCAGGTAGTTCAAAAACCGGATTAACAAAGTTTGTTTAAGTTCCTGATAGCAGCCGCGGTCCCCTGGTTTTAGGCTTCTGCTTGCGTGGCTCCTTCGATGTAAAAAAGCAGATAAAAAGAAACTAGAGGGAGCGGATGTAACTTTTCATATTGTGAACATCACAAAACATTATAATGCCACTGGAAAAAAGAATAGTAGGTAGGCTTAGCAAAATCTATCTACGTATCTGATCCCCTTGTTATTCACGCCAATGTAGTATAATGCAGTATCTCCTCAGCTTCTTCAATATCATTTTAATATCATCTTATCCTTGTTATACAAGCCGGTTTTCAGGCATCCTGTTTTCCATCCTGTGAACAGCAGCCAAAATCCCACGAATTACTTTCCCTCGTAGCTTTTCACTAACCGTGTTTTGAATGGTATGAGAGGAAAAGCTATAATCTTCGATTAAGCACGTGCGAAACATTTAGCGAAGTAAGCCTATTTAAGGCTGGCAGTAGCGTAGAAAACAAAGAGGTAGTCAGTTACCGTCTGTCTGCCTTCATAAACAATTGAGTACTCTGCCGTACTTAGGTAAAAGTTAATTTACCTACTGCCTTTTTAAATTTTGACGCAAACACATTTCTTTTATGATTTCAATAAGCGAGTTGACACTCTTTTTAAGTAAGATTCCCCTTTCAGATGTGTAAAAAGAAATACAATCTCACTTTCGAAATTAATTTTTCGCGATCACAATACTTTCTCGCCCAGAAAGTAAAATTTAATGAATTTTCCTTAGAAAAGCAAGGTTATGCTATTTGCAAACTGTTTATGGGGCAAACACTATATTTTAAAATATACCATTTCGAGAGGTCTGGCAATAAATTCTCGCAATGATTACTAAGAAGGTCCTACTAATTTTTGTTTTGTAGGGGTTGTATGCGTAAGCGATTTGTCAGATTCTATTTTGTGTTGAAACACCTCCAATAGCTCAGCTGCTCCAGAAAACATCTACTACAGACCATAATTCGCCTGTAATATTATTCACATTCATTGTAACTTAACTAGGATCTTTTTAAAACGACGGCTAATAGAACCGCTCAACTGAATAAATATCTTCAGAAATACTGAATTTGTAACGCAGTTCAATGCAAAATTCTCCTTGATGTTGAAGAGCTTCTCATATAGATATTCGTATCAAAACAACTAAAATAATTTTGCTATTAAAATACATAGAACTCACCTAAATAAAGAAGAATGCCTGATTGATCTCTTACACAGATACGTTGCAGTCCTAAATTTAAGATTGTGTTAATGGTGACATGTTGGATTATGGTTCATCTGGATTTGGTTGAAGTTACCTGACACAAATAATTAGACGTATGTCATTCTTAACGTGTCATCTTGATTGCTAAAGTAATAGCAAGGAAACAAGCACATGTGTGATATTATATCTTATAAGCCAGAGCATGACCAGAGCACTCAAGAAGTTCCAAAATACGCATTCTTACCACTTCAAGTGATGTTGGTTGAACCTACAAGTAAAGGTAGGTTCAAATTAGAATGGACAAATATTAGGTAAGGTAAAACAGGTCGGTTTTGAGAGAATCACTGTAGAATTTTTAAATATTTTTAAAACGATAGTAGACACGTATAGCAAAAAATCAGTAAAGATATTTACATTTAGTGCATTTTGTTTTTCTCTGCCACCCCCTTCCTTATGTAGCATGTTTCGCAAGCTACTGTTATTATCCTAGATGTTTTTTTGATTTGATTTTAGAAGTTTTTCTGATTGGAAGCTACTCTAAACTTAGGACTTACCCTAACCCATGCTTCATCCAGCCCTAGCCTTTTGCTTACCTCAATTTTGCGGCCTAGACCTAATATATGGCTTACATCAATCCTGGATACACCTCAGCCCATATCTCTAGCTACACTTTGAAACCTACACTTGGCAGCATGGAAGCCTGGTGAGACTTCCCCTCTTTTCACCTGACAAGAAGCCGATACCAGCCTCTTCGAGCCTTGGCTTGTACAGAAGTTTATATTGCTTTGCGTGAATGGCTAGACAAAAATTGTTGTTAATTTAGGCCCCATTTCACTAAGCCAAAGAAGCGCGTGGTTTAGCTACAAGAACTTAATTATTTCATTTGCGTCCGAAAACAAAATTAGCGGCCATGCTCATAAAATGCACCAAAGAAAGAGAAGCATTTGTGTCTTACTCGAAGCATTAACACAAATCTGATATAATATCTAGATGGATATGGCATCAATTACATAAGCATTTTATTGAAAATAATTTCCTATCATACTGTTGTGGTACAAGATTCAGCTTGAAAAATTATTTGAAAATATGAATAAAATTACAGAACGCTTATTTTTTAACAAACATCGAGCAAGTATTCAATTTACTTGACTACCGTGCAAAAAACCTATTCTTCGAGCCAGCCCTGTTATCAGGGAGATCTCTTGCCCTCTACTGGGCAGCGGAATGACTACTTCTAGCCTTGCCACCGTGACCGCGGCGCGGCGAGTCGTCCTACCGTCCAGTAGAGTGAAAGCTCCCTGTTAACAGTAACAGGGCTGGCTTGAAGAACAGGATTTTTCGCAAGCCAAGCAAGTAAATTGATTACGTTTTCGATTTCTGTAGCTTTATATACGTCTTGAAAGAGTTTATTAAGTAGAAGTTTGTTCAGGCCACAGTGAGACTCTTTTATTTTCAATAAAATGTTCAGTAATTGCGTGATGTCAACCTATTTATTGTAGCAGGTTTGACCCACGTTTCGAATAGGCCGCAAATCATCATTTTTCATTGATGGAAATTGCGTCAACTTTCGGGACACAAATGAAAAATAGATTTTGTGGCTGAATCATATGATATATGAAGTATTCATCTTACATAAATCGTTTAATTTTTCCCTAACTTGAGAGATCTTTTACCAGAAATCGACCAAATTCATTAGATCCATTAGTTCAAAGACGTCTTCTCATTGGGCCAATTTATATAACGTCTTTTCTATGTGAACATAAAAAGTCGGTTATGAGCGCTAGAAGCCACCGTCATCTGTATGACAAACATTTATGAAATTCTCATCGCTACTTCGCTATTCTGTTCTAAGCTTTGACTATCTCTTATTAAGTTTTTCACTTGACCCCAGACAAACCACATCGGAGTCTATTTGTATTCGCGTGTCTCTTCTTCGACACATTTTCTCGAGTGCTCCTCGTGAATATATTTATACAGAGAGGGTCGCAAACAATCCTCTGTCCTGCAGACTTGTCCTGCGGGTGCAATAATGAGACCAGCACTTCGCAGCGCCTTCTTAAAAATGCATTGGAACTATCAGACCGGACATTGCTAGTCGTCTCTCGCCAACGGTGTTCCTAGTATACAACTCACCTACTCCATTTGCTGAACAGTGTTCTTTTTCGGTAGCAGGTTTTTTGCGATGCTTTGTCCTGGAGGATTTGAATCGGATGCTTAAAAATACATGAACGAAAGTTCGTGCATACTCTGATAGAACTATTTCATTTGCCTAGGATGTTTAATGTTTATAACGGCTGGAATACTATAAAGCAAGTATTATGAACAGAAACATAAATTACTGCAACATTAACATAATTCACAAAGTAAACACGCCATATAAAACATATGGTAAATGTACGAAATCTCTCGTGGGACCAAAGCAATCCTATGATTAGTTTCTAAGAAATGGGGGGACGAAGCTTGCCCGATTTGCAAAAAATAAAGAAATGTACTTTCGTAGGTTTATCTGAAACACATCGTATACTATGTGTTATGAAACAGAGGCTTGTCAAAGGTCCCCGCACAAAACATATAAAAATTTGTCCCCGTTGATTTATCTAAATATTCAGTGGGTTTTATTTCTGGCCTTTCTGAACAAAACTTCTCATGGGACCAAAGCATTCCTACAACTAGTTTCTGACAAATAGGGAGCAGTTTGACCAATTTGCAAAAAGGCAATATGATTTTTATATACTAAGTGACATATAAATCCGAACACCCAGTTTAAATGGTTTTATTTTAATAAAATTTTGTATAAGTACTTAATGAAGTATAATAAGTAAATGATAAAAATTTCAAAATGATTGCACTGCTTTAAAGCCCTTTGACCTTTAATAATGTGTGGATGCACCCTGATGTGCTACGCATTCTCCAACGCGCCTAGGCATGCTTCTGATCAGGTGGTCAATGTCCTCCTGTGGTATCTCATTCCAGGCAACCACCAACTCCTCTCGAAGTGCTTCTAGAGTCTGAGGAGGGCGTTGCAAATTGAGCAATCTCCTACCCATCATATCCCACACGTGCTCAATTGGGGATAAGCCGGGAGATCTTGGTGGCCATGGTAACAATGTGACATCATTATGTTGAAAGAAGTCTATTGTGACTCTTGCAACTTGTGGTCGGGCATTATCTTGTTGGAAAATTGGATCTGCCAGGGTGTCAGGATAGGGTAAAAGATGGGGTTCTAGAACTTCGTGGATATAACGCTGCGCATTAATGTTACCTCTGATGAAGATTAAAGGTGACCTGGAACCATAAGATATAGCACCCCAAACCATAACTCCAACAGTGTGATGAACATGTCTTTCAACAAAAAACTGTGGATTCCTCCTTTCACCACGTCGCCTTCTAACCCTGGCACGACCATCGTGCATGCCTAAACAAAATCGAGACTCGTCACTAAAGACAATACTGTTCCATTCCTGATCCCAGAGTGACCGTTGTCTGCACCACTCAAGGCGATTACGTCGGTGTTCTCGAGTTAAAGGGAGGACCCAGTGTGGCCGGTATGAAAACAAGCCAAAACTTATCATTCGTCGGTAAACACTTCGCATGCCAATAGGTCTTCCGTGTTCTGCAAACCATTCATTTGCAATGGACCTGGTAGTGGAGAAACGGTCCCTTAAGGCCAATAATCTTAGGCGGCGATCTTCACGGTCTGTTGTTCTACGGCGGCGTCCAGTGCCCCTTGCTCTTTGCATGCGGCCTTCTCGAAGCCATGCCTGACAACAGCTGACCACAGTGTCTACACTTCTTTGCACTCTAACTGAAATTGACCGAAAAGAAAGTCCAAATTCCAGAAGTCCCACTATATGGCCCCTATCAAACTCACCAAGTTGACGAAATCGTACAGGTCTCCGTACTCTAGGCATCGTAACCGATCGTAAAGGATGTCAAGAACCAAAATCCGCCAACGTTGATTCTTAGAGCGTTAGTGAATTAAAAAAAAGCAGTATAAAAACCGGAATGTCCAACTGATAAGGCTGAAAATTTTTTCACTTGTTATTTACAGTAAGCTAAATACATTCACCAACTTTTATTAAAATAAAACCATTTAAACTGGGTGTTCTGATTTATATGTCACTTAGTATATGTTAATTCTGGAATAGATCTGACACGAGTTGTCCGAGAATTCAAAAAAATCGCTTGACAAGGGCGCGAAAGGGTCGTAATTGCTTTCTGGCCATTGATGATGACCTTTACAAGAGTAATTCAAGGTCATGTCTTTTGAGTTTTCTTGTTGTGGTCTGCTTCTGGCATATCGAGCAGCTTGGGTCAACTTTGTGAAACTAAATGGATCAAGTCAGCTAATGAGGCCCACACAATTAGTCCATACACATTATTTCCCTGCACTACCAATAGTTACCATCCATCTGGTAACGTTGCCCTGTCCCATATCAGCAGAAGAAGTAGCGTGTCGAAAACATTCCTTCATCATTCTAACTTTTAAACGCAAATTTAATTACACTAACATAAAAAAATTGAAATATACCCTCTCTCATCCTCTACAAGCACTCACTCCTCTATTTTTTTACCCCTAATCATTCTTTTAGATACGATCAGGTTCCTCTGAAATGTCAAAAAATGAAGTTTGGGAGATTTTTATTTTTTCTTACTTTCCATGTTATAGAAGGGGCGCGGATTACCGGGCAAACCTACAGGCAGACAGACAGACGGAAATAAGTGGCATGGTTTTTCGTGATGTTATTGTCATATAAATTATAATATAAATTTTACGCGATTACAATACGTCCTCGACCAGTGGCGTAAGAAGTAAAAACGCATTTGAATTTTGAGCTGATGAACTGTACACCTATCAGTGCTGAATTTGAATCTATTTGGGTGAAGACCTGTATTTTTTCCACCGCTTTCACACAAAATTGCTCGGCAATTCCATGAGAGCGGCGAACAGCGGTGGCAACCTGTATCGCACTTTAATTAAACGATCATCACAGTTATCGGCTCAATAATAATTTTCATTAAGATTAATTAACAAATATTTTCGCTATTAGATCGGGAATACTTCAGATAAAATATGGGGAGGCTGTGAACGGGTTGGCTTTCTGCTTGCAACGGCTTCCTGATAGCAGCGGTTATATTGCACATTCC